AAATCTATTAGGGGGTACCCCCCCAAATGAACAGGAACCACCCCCTTCAAGCTGCGTTTTTATTTTTATTTTTTACAAAACAACCTTATCACCTTCAAAGTACTCTCCATGACACGTAATACAGTTGTCAAATCTGTGATTCCATTCTTGGAAACATTTTTCAAACTCATCTCTTTGGATGGCTGACAGCACCTCCCTCATTTTTTTTCTTCATCGCTTCTACATTGTCAAATTGCTGTTCTTTTAAGTCCCTCTTCATTGGCAGAAACAAAAAGAAGCTGCACAGAGCGGGGGTCAGGTGAGTAAGGTGCATGGGGCAAGAAAGGCATGCTGTTTTTTGCCAAAAACTGGCACCCTGAGATGGTTACATGAGAAGGTAGATTGTTGTGGTGGTAAAACCAGTCTCTATTTTTACAAAGCAGGCCTTTTTTTGTCCACATCATTACACAATCTTTTCAGAACCTCTAAATAGAAAGCTGATTAACAGTCTGGCCTGGTGGTATGAACTCCAAATACATTATCCCCCTCACATCAAAAAAACAAATGAGCATCGTCTTGGTCTTTGATTTCACTTGATGAGCTATTATTGGGTGAGGTGAAGATGGCATTTTCCACTGGCTTGATTGAGGTTTGTTTTGGGGGTCGTAAGAATAGCACCATGTCTCTTCACCAGTAATGACCTTGGGAAAAGTCTGTGTTGCTTCACAGCTGTTCTTTCAAAGCACGGTATATTTCCACTCAGTGCTCTTTTTCCTGCTCAGTCAGAACCCGAGGCATACATGTCACAGTGACCCTTCTCATTCCCAAATTTTCCTTTAAAATTTGCTGAACCGAGCTCCAAGATAGTCCGGATAACTTCCCCTTCTCTTCAACGGTCCATCGTCAGTCTTCAAGCACAAGTGCACAAATTTTGTCAACATTTTCGTCCATTTGGAAGGTTGACGGACATCCAGAATGAGGTTTGTCATCAATCGACATTTCACCTTTTTTGAAATGAGAAAACCAACTCATACACTTGAGTTTTTCCCATAGTGCTGTCCTGGTAAGCAGTGTTCAACATCACAACAGTTTCTGCGGCATTTTTCCCAAGCAGGAAACAAAATTTCACAGCTACACACCGTTCTCTTAAATTAGCCCATCACACAAAATGAGGTTGGAGGGAAACTGCTTTCATGAAAAAACTCACTGTGACCAGAGAGAACCTTCCCAGGCGAAGCCACTGGGTGCACTAACTCAGAGCAAGTTGTGGGGGAAAGGCATATGAAAGCTCTGCCCAGGGGAGATTTTTTTGAGTTTTTGGAGGTACCCCCTCATATACCCTCTCCAACTATCTACCAATGTCAGAGCAAAATAAGAGCATTGTCAAACAAACAAGATAATTTCAAAATGTTGCTGTGGGTTAAACATTGGTCTGCTAACTGCAAGGTCGTTGGTTCAAACCCAACAGCTGCTTCATGGGAGAAAGATGAGGCTCTCTGCTCCTGTACAGGTGTGCAGTCTCAGAAGCCAGAACTGACATGGGGACAAGGAGTTACTTATATCCTTTATTACTGAGCTATGAGAAGAATGGTTAGGACCCTGGTGGTGCAGTGGCTGCTGATCAAAGGACGGTGACTCAAACCCAGCAACCTCTTCATGAGAGAAAGAAGTTTCGGTCGTTTCTGTAAAGATTACAGCCTTGGTAACACTGTGGGGGCAGTCCTGCTCTGACCTGTGAGACCACCATGAGTCAAAATCAACTCCATGCTGCAGGTTTAAAGCACTGGCTTTGAGCCGCCCTGCAAACTGAAATGATGCTACTTTAGGGCAAAGATTCTCTAGGCTACATCCCTAGATCTTCTAGATTCTCTAGGACCAGCATCTCTAAAGTTCCCTGGGACATTCAGGAACACTGCTTTCAACAAGTTCTATTCCTTGCACAACCTCTGGCCGACTTTTCCTAAAAGGTCAGCTCCCAGCCCTAGCTATGGAGGATCCAGAAGGTCCAATTTGCCAGGGAGTGACTGGGATTTTCCACCTAGAACCGGACACTGTCCCGCCCACTCTTCCTGCTGAGAAACTTTCTTTTGACCTGCCCAAACCTTGACCCTCAGCGATCTCTGCCCACCCTCCCCGCCCGCCTCCATTTGCACTGCACAGGCTGCTGGCCCAGAATCCCTGGGAACATTCCTCACCTTGGCTTGGCTTTCCTCCACTTCTTGGTGGCCCTCCGTGGCCCCTGCCTCCCGCTCAGCCTGCCCAAGCTCCCCATTGTTCTGCTTCTCGCATCCCTACCCACCCTAACCCTCTCCCTCTTGGCATCGTCCCTTTTGAGGCAGTCATGTCACCCTCAAAGCCCATCTGTTGAGTGGCCAGGGCTGCCTGGAGTGAGGGCAGGGGCCCTCCACACTGACTTGGGTCTGCCTGGACTTGATGCCCTTCTGACCCGTCAGGGCTTCCAAAATGGGAGCCGGAGAGTCTGGGTTCTCACCCCCTCTTGCTCCTTGGACCTGCAATGATTTTGAGCAAGGTCCTGCCCCCCACCCCTCCTATCAATCCCTGGCCCTGGAAATGTGGAAAAGCATCCCTGTCCCTGTCCCTCCCTGAGGGCATGGGGTGGGGGCTGCAAAGCCTGCAGGGAGATGGAAAGGGCTGAAGGGCAAATGCACTCATGTGTCTCTTCAGCAGCCAGAAACCCCAAGGGGCAGGCAGTGGCCTGCACTGTGTTGCTTTCTAAGACCTCCGTCCCAGCATGAACAGGCGAAGCTCTGTCCTTGAGTCACAAAAGGGCTGTGGCAAAGGCTCAGAAGCCCCCCATGGGCCTGCAGCCAGGAGCTGGGTTCCCAGTGAGGGCTCTTCCCCATTCGAGCCCAGGGCCCTGAGCCTCCGAGAACAGAAACAGGCCCTGGAGCTGCAGCACGAGGCAGAGTAGGGCTGCACGGCCATGCCTGTGGGGCTCCCATGCACATGCTCCACTCCTCCTTGCCAGGGGCAGGGGAGCCCGGGGCTGGAGCTGGGGCTGGGGCTGGGCAGTCAGGCTGTGGTGACCGCCCCTGCCGTACCCATCAGAGGAGCCCGAGTCCCCCACTGAATACTCAGACCTGCTAAGAACAGGAGTTGGGCTGTGAGGAGGTCAAGTTCTAGCCCACGTCTCCTCTGCCTCCCTGGGGAGCAGTGGGGAGTGAGCCTCTTCCTCCTGGGCCCACGGGGCAGCAGTGCGCCGTCCCAGACCCCGTAGGGCCTCTGGGAACTTGGGAAGCAGTTGAGGACCTGCTTCCTGGGCCTTGGGCACAAAGTCAGCTCTGTTCTTGAAGGGTTTATCTGGGCCTGTGTCTGGGGGCTGTGCTGTGTCTTAGGCTCAGGATACAGGCGTGAAGGTTCATGCTGATGGGGAGCTGCCCAGTCAACCAGGCGGGAGTACAGAGGCCGGAGGCTCCACCCCAGCCCTCCCCCTACCCCCCACCTACCCCCCTTCACTATTTCCACCTCTCCTTTCACAGGAGAACAGGAAGCCAGGAAGTGGTCAGCCGGCAGAGTTCCTTCCTCTCACAAGGCCCTGGGGGCCTGGACAACTTGGCCTGACTCGTGGGGACCCGAAGATGCTGGAGCTGGTGGCTACTGTGGAAAAGAGACCCAGTGGCCTGTGAGACCCAGGGACACGCTGAGGTCCGGGCTGTGTGCCTGCATGAGGCCCAGTAGGCCACTGAGTTGCCACTAGCGGCCCTTGACAGGTCAGCCTCCCTCGCTCTGACTCTGGACACACCATGCCTCCTAGAGTCACGGGAGCAGGAGAATGGGGAGCGTCCACTCTGGTCCCTGGAGGCTCCCTCACATCAAGAAGACACCTGCCCTGAGGCAGGGTGTGGAGCTAGTCCCTTGGAAGGAAGATTTGGCCCTTGGTCCCCGAAGTCAAGCTGGGAGGTTGCACTGCTGCTCAGAGTCACCTTGTGTCCTCAGCCCAGAGCAGAATAGGAGTGGGATGGGGTCTCACGTGTCCATCTTCTCACTCCCTGTACTGCTGGCCCCTCCCATCTGTCCCTGCCCAGGGCCAGCCCAAGAAACACTTTCTCCCGAAGCATCAGAAGCTGACTATGAGACAGGTTGAGCAGTGCTAAATGCTAAATGCCTCGGTGACTGCATGGAGATGCCAGCTTCCCCTCATCCTCCGATCGCAGGTCCCCGCACCCACAAGCCTGGAGGGGTGTGTGTGTCAGCCAGTAAGGTTTTGGGGGCGCTGCTGCCTCTGGGTGTTCCAAACCAGTGTGCAGTTAGGCTTGAATTCTGGGGTTAGACTCAGAGCCAGTCTCTTCGCTGCTGTGTAACACTGAGCAAACTTCTTAGCCTCTCTGAGCCTCTGTAAACAAGGCTGTTGGGGGAGTAATTGAGATAGTGCTTGCTGTAAATGGACCTGCTCTGATTGCGGGTATTGAAGGTGAGGGTCCCGGACCACCTTTGCACCCTGAGGACAGATGGACCTAGACCTCTCGCCCAGCACCCGAGACCAATGGGCATTTGGAAAGGCTGTCCTTAGTCCAGGCCCATTCCCACGGTAGGCACTGAAGACCACTAAGAACAGGGCACTCTGAGCCAGGTTGCTACCCAGCTCCCCGCCCCAGTCGGCACTTGATTGAAAGAGCCATCGGTAGAGGAGCTTGGTTCTTCTCCAGCCTGGGCCGGTCCGCAGGGCCCCTGGGACTCCACTCGGAGAATTGATTTTCATTCAAGGGCAGGAGCCGCTGCCAGCCCTCTGGCTGCTGCTTGGGCCCTCAGTCCCCTGGCACCCCATGCTGGCACGTCTGATGGCCCCTTGCTGCTCCCACTCTGCCCAAGCTCTAGGCCCCCTGTTGACTGGGAGCGGTCGTTTGAAGCGGAACCTCACCTGGGCCTCACTCAGCCCCCAGCTGCCCCAACAGGTGGTCAACATGAGCCCCTTTCCCTGATGAGCAACTGAGGCTCTGGAAGGGCCTGGACGCACACGGATCCTGCACCATGTCCTCCCCTGAGACCCAAGGCCTCCTTACCGTCTGTCAGGGGCCCCAGTGGTGTCCTCAGCCGCGACGTCCCAGGTCTCGGACCAGCCAGCGATGTGTGGGCCAGGGAAGCTGGCACCAGGGGCCTGGGCACAGGCTCCCAGCAGCCCCCAGCCCAGGGCCCCACTGAGGCCCAGCAGCAGTGTCAGGACCATCTCTGCTCCCGGGAAAGGTTTAGGCTCAGCTTGGCCGAGAGATTCCAGAAACTGCCAGTGACGTGGTCCTCGAACAAAGTCTCAGAAGGAAAAGAAAACAGTAGAACAACAAAGAGAGGAAGTGGCTTGGGCTGGCCCACCGGTGCGTCCCCGCCCCCTCCTGGCCCATGGAGAAGCAGCCAGGACACCAGCCACACACGCACGCTAGTTCCTGTGCCTCCAGAGGGTGGGGGTCCCGGCCCCTAGGGGGAGGTGGCTTAGAGAAGCGCCCCACCAAATATGTCCCCTGGAAGCAGGGAAACATAGTTTTGCAGTGGGTCAGCAGGAAGTGGTTGGGTGGACCAGTCGTGGGGGCACACATCACACCTACTCAGCACTTTCCTCATGGACTGTGGGGGCCAGCAGTGGGCAGAGGGGGCGGGCTTAGAGAGGAAGAGGGAAGACTTTGTGTACCCCACCCGCTCACCCCCACCTTCAACTTGGCCTTGTCCAGAGCCCAGAGTTGGCAGCAAGCAGTCCGCCTGGGAAGAGGAGGACTACCCAGGCCCATCGGGGAGGTTGGCCGCTGTCATCTGACAGCCCCGTGGGCCTTGACCCTTACCCTACCCAGGACCTCCCTAGGGGTCCTCTGTGCTCTGCACCTGCTAGTCCGTGCAGCATAGCCCCTGGGGGAGGGCAGGGGTGGCTAAGGAGAGGGTCTGGTCCTGCAGTCCCGCCTGATGGCAGGGAGAAAAGGCTCAGTAATCAGGTCTGGTCCTGCAGCCTGGGATGGGGCGGGGCTGGAGCCATCCTTTCTCCCCACCTCCCCCCTCTTTCCTTTCTCCTTTCCTCCCTGCCTCCCTGCCCCGGCTGGCTAGGCTCCAACTGGTCACTGCATCAATATTTCATCAGAATCAATAAGAGGCAGAGCAGACAATAGGAGGCAGCAGAGACAGCAGCTGCCGCAGCCTGGCCAGCTCACAGCCGGGAAGCACACGGTGTCTGTCGGCCCTCCACCATGGATGTCTTTAAGAAGGGATTCTCCATCGCCAAGGAGGGCGTGGTGGGTGCCGTGGAGAAGACCAAGCAGGGGGTGACAGAAGCGGCAGAGAAGACCAAGGAAGGAGTCCTGTATGTGGGTGAGTAGGGGCTCCCCAAGGTGGGGCGGGCCAGCAGGGGCACGGGGCCAGAGGGGGCCACCGGGGTCTGGTAGCCGAGTTCTTGTAGGTTTGACCTTCCTCCCATGCCCAGGGAGGCACCGAGTAGCTGGGAGAGCAAGGGTCTGTCTGGCTGTTAAGCCAAGGTCTCCGGCTGCACCAGTGAGTGTTGGCATCCAGGCCCCTTGGAGGTCCTTGGGGATCTCTGGGGTGAGACCACAAGAGGGCATCCAGACCTCAGACATAGCCTACCCTGGCCTGACCCCTCTGCAGGTCCCCCAGTTGACCACTGTGTGTACATATACAAATGTACACACACACACACATACAGCATCACCTGCAGGGGATGGGCTTTTGCCTCTAGACCCAGACTAAGCCTGGAGCCTTGCTTGTCCTTGGCTGTTCTGGTGAACACAGCCCCACCCAGGCCCTGGCCCTGCCCTGAGTGGGTGGCCTTTCCTGCCTTCTCCTAGTGGAGCTGTTGCAGCCAGCCGTCAACAGCCCGGCCAGGGAGTCCCGCCCTGCCCAGGGGGAGACGAGACAGAGGGTCAGTATCCATCTCTTGCCATCCTTCGCTTGGTAGCTGGGCACAGGAGGAAGCTGAGTGGATGAGTCAGCACTTAGCTGCCCTGCTGCTACTTCTGGGAACCCAGGGACATGCCTGGGCAGGGGGCTGGCCTCTGAGCCCAGGCAGCTCGGGGGCGCTGGTGGCCCTACCGCTAGCCTGGTCTCTGTTCCTCTCAGCCTGTCTTGTCCCCTTCCTGTCCTGGTCACTTCCTCCAGACACTGTAGGAAGCAACCCTTTGAAGGGACCGCTTGGTCCCCAGACACGGGCTCTCACCCCCATGGGTCCCACAGCATGCACAGCTGTTCGGTGTAATTTCCTGGCCCCCACCTCCCACCCCTTGGGCTGATGTATCCATTTTCTCCTCAGGAGCCAAGACAAAAGAAGGCGTTGTGCAGAGTGTGACCTCAGGTGAGGAGCCCCCAGAGCCTGGACCCCTCGGGACTCTCGCCCTTTAATACTGAGAACCCACAACAGGGGCCTCCTGTTCCCCCGACCCCCACCCCACCCCAAATGGGAGCCCAAGCCCTACATGGACCTAGAGCCCTCCACACCCTAAGGCTAGACCCTGAATGGGACCCCCTCTCCAACCCCTGTCAGGGCGCCATCCAAGGCAGGAAGCAGGGAGCCCTAGGGTGCTGGGGAAGGCAGTTTGGGGCCCCTTGGGAAAGGAGCTGCCCCTGCCAGAGGCGGAGGTGGAGGTGGGCAGCGGTGGGGCCAGGTCTGGCAGCCCCGTGCTCCGCAGTGGCTGAGAAGACTAAGGAACAGGCTAACGCCGTGAGCGACGCCGTGGTCTCCAGCGTGAACACGGTGGCCACCAAGACGGTGGAGGAGGCCGAGAACATCGCTGTCACCTCGGGCGTGGTCAGCAAGGTGAGCCCCGCCCCCGCCCCCACCCTGCCCCTGACTCCCCCGGGCCGTTTGCCCTCTGGGACCACAGGCGTGGACAGCCAGGGAGATGGATACTCGGAAAATGGAGGTGACACAGCTAGTGCGTGTCAGGGTCCCCCTAATGGCCCAGGCCTCAAATCACACCTTGGAGGGATTGCGTGTGAGGCCCATGTTATAGCTGTGGAGAGGGAGAGCCCCCCACCCCCACCCCGATCTCCCTCTGAACAACAGTTTTGGAGATAGCACCGTTGATCAATGAAAACAGGGTCCTGTGGGCACTGCCAACGGACAGTCGCCCTCCAAGTCCTTGGACACCAGGCCAGAGCTGCTGAGTCACCCATGCAGCTTCCACGGCACCCCCAATTTGGGTGGTGGTGGTGGGGGAAGCAGCATCCCCCGGTGATGAGAAAGCTGTGAGGCTTGAGCCCCATAGAAGGGTGTGTGTGTGTGTGTGTGTGTGTGTGTGTGTGTGTGTGATGTCCTGGCCGGACAGAAAGGTTGGTGACCTGGTGGGCCTGTAGCAGCCCCAGGACTGGGGTCACTGCCTCAAGGGCGCCTGATTTCCTGGTGACAAGCCAAAGCCGGCCCAATACCCCCATGGTGATCCATAGAAAGATGCAGCCATGCCTGCCTGACCAACCCACCCCCTGCCTTGGGGCAGGAGGGCTAACAGAGGAGAGTCGGCTTCCTTGCTGGTTAATGTCCTGTGTGTCTTACCCCTCCCATCGATGGGCAGAACGAGCCTGGAGGCTGCAGGATCCCCCCACCACCACCCGCCCCCTGGAGGTGGGCGCTGGACCTTGGCGGCCAGGCAACACACCCAGCTGGCCCTGCCCAGCCCAGCTGTCACATGATCACTTCCCAAGCAGACTCCCAACTTAGGCAGCATCTGGCTGGGATAGAAGGGGACAGGAAAATGGTGGTGGTGGGGAGTGGTGGTGGCAGGACTAGGACTAAGCCAGCGGTCTCTCTGCTTTTCGGTTCTGGGGCCTTGTGTTGACTCAATTATGGGGACTGTGTATGGTCATGTGATTCAAGGACACTGAGAGTGGGTGTAGGACTGCCCAGGGGCCTGCGCCCAGGCGTGGGAGTGAAGCTGAGACCCTTGGTATCTGGTGTGTCCACACGGCCTCCGAGGCGTCTGGGAGAGTCCAGCTGCGGCCCTTCCACGCTGTTCTGACCCCTCCACCCCATTACCCTGTCTGCACTGTCCATGTGGCTTCCCCTCCCCTTTGCACTCAACAGGACGTGCTGGCACATGCGCCCCCACAGGAGGATGAGGCTGCAAAAGAGGAAGAGGGGGCGGCTGAGGAGGTAACCACTGGGCTCCCAGGGGGCACCAAACACCACCTCTTCCCAGCTTGTGGGTGTCCCTGGGCAACTCCCTGTCCAGAGGCTGGTTTGGGGCAGGGAGCTCCTCGCCTCAACCCGCCCCCCACCCCCCGCCCTGCTTCCCTCCTGGAACTCGGGGCTCTCAGGGAGGTCCTGTATCACCTTGAAAGGGGCTGTGGGCAGGCTCCACCCTCCACCTGAAGCCAAGGGCACCCATGACACCCTCTTCTCCCTTCCCCGTCAGCTTGGATCTAGGCGGGGCACTGAGGGTGGGGGCCTGGTGCTATTTGTAAGGGTCACTTTCTCTCCCAGGCTGAGAGTGGCGGAGACTAGGGGGCTGGCGATCTCCCAGGAGGCCTGGAGAGAACCCCCTCCTGCCTCCGACCCCACCCCGTCCTGACACAAGGAGTGCTGGCCCTGGAGTGTGACCCTGCGGGGCTGCCCCTGCTCCTGGCACCCACAGGCCTGTCTCTGTGCTGCTGCTGCACCAACAGCGCCGTGTCATCTTCCCTCCCTCCCTTCCGCCTTCTGGTCCTGTGACACACAGATGCTGCTGAGAACTTGTTATGTGTGCGGTTTTTGTTTTTTAATGACTCTAAATAAAATTCATGACCACCGTCCTGGTCATGCATGCCTGTGCTTCCTCTCTATTGCCGCCTTGCTTGTAAAGACACGCCCCGCCCCCCCTACACACACACCGGGGGCCTTCCTGGGATAGGAACAAGTGCACCTGTCACCCAGGTTGGGGAAATAGGTACCCTATTGGGATATACTGGCTGTTTCTAGAAGCTGGCACTAGACACACACACACACACACACACACACACACACGCGCGCGCTCTCCTCATATCAGAGCCACCCTGACGGTCTGCAGGACCCGCTGGCCACAGTAAGGCACGCCCCAAGGACTCCCAGGTGTCAAACGTCCCGGTGACCCTGCTAGCACCGTTTAAAATCAAAGATGAAAGATGAGCCGGTGCTTCCTGGGCTCCTGTGTCTTTTAGGGAATGGGGACACCAAACAGCCAGACAGGATTAAAGATGGGGGAGTCTTAAGCCCACAGTGAGACCCAGAGTGCTCTCAGCAGCAGACACATACTGCGCCCAGGCCCCTCCCCCGGACTATGCCCATGCTTAAGTTTCCAGCTGAGGTGGAGTGGCAGGACTTTCACTCCCGCACCCAGCCCTCCCTGCCAGCGTCCTTCACGCAAACTGCATGGAGATGTGGGCTGCCTTTTCAGATCGGAGGCTCTCTCTTCCCACAAAGGAAGACAGGGAGCTCCCAGGGATGAGGCAGCACTCCCAGCATTTTGCTTACCTCAGGGAGCCTCAGAACAAGCCCTGGGAGTGACGGGGCCTCAGTTTCCACTACAAATGAAACCCAGCAGCAGGAAGGTTAGGAAGGAGGGCACATGTCCAGGCAGCCCAGTCCAGAGCCTCCCTGTTGGCCGCTGGGCTTAGCTCCGGCCACTGGACTCCATGAGCCATGGTATGCTTAGGACAGACTGTCCTCCCTCCCCCCGAGGCTTCAAAACCACTCAGCTTGGCAGAGTCCGCCACAAAAGCCTGTGGACATCATGCCCTGGAGGCCTGGTTGGATTTCTTGGGTCTCCTGGGCCCCATGGTTACTGGACAGTGGGTCTCCGGACATCTAAGGCCTCAGGCCTTCGTGTCCGAGCTGGAGCTGGAGCCCACACCAGGCTCCAGAGACTTCCTATCCACACTGCCCTATAGCCCTGGGCCTCCGGGGTGGCCAGCAGGGGTCAGGGCAGCCCAAGCGCTGGAGCCTTCAAGCACAGCTTATCTTCTGACCTCCTGGCCTTGGGTGGCCACTACTAAAGAGGCAGGAAAGGGCAGGAGGGTGTGAAGAGGCCAGATCAACCAGACAGTGCATGCCCCAGCAGAAGGGCCACCTGGATCTGGGTGTGCCTGAGAGCCCTCTCACCTGGGGGGTGGGGTGGGGCAGGGCTGGTTACTCTAGGGACAGCTGTTCTCCTGGCTCTGATCTAGCATTCTTCCATCAATTTCCTTCCAATTGATTCTGACTCATGGGGTCAGCAAGTGAGCCTTGGAAATATTCAGCATCTCAGCAGTGGCCTGGGGCTCGACGTGGCTCCTCCAGCTCTGGCTCTGGCTGCATCAGTGTAGCTACATCAGGCTTGTCATCAGTAATGTCTTGCAGGGAGTGAGCATGTGTCCTGCCTCCAGCGAGCTATTTATCTTCACATGAGGTCATCAAGCTGTGACCTTGATTGACAGGTCAAACCCCTTCACTCTTAAGTCTCAAATTGACAACAGATTATGTAACTACCACAGCCTGTATCCCAATGAATTCAACAACTTAGAAGACATGGGCAAATACTTGGAAAAACAATCCATCCCTATATTAGTCCAGTGGGATGTCAAGAACCTCAACAGACGCATAGCAATAGAAGAAATAGACAAGGTTATCAATGGATTACCAACAAAAACATCACAGCTTCACAGAAGAATTTTACCAAGCATTCAGAGAAGAACTGACACCAATCCTACACAAACTCTTCCAGAGCCTAGAAAAAGATGGAAAACTCCCGAACCCTTTCTATGAAGCTAGTATAACTCTGATACCTAAAGCAGGCAAGGATCCCACAAGAATTGAGAACTACAGACCAATATCTCTAATGAACATTGATTCAAAAATTCTTAACAAAATGCTGGCCAATAGAATACAAAAGCATATAAAACGAACAGTTCACCATGACCAAGTGGGTTTCATTCTAAGGATGCAGGGATGATTCGACACCCAAAAGTCCATCAGTATTATTCACCACATTGACATGAAAAATTATAAGAAATATATGATAATATCGATAGACACAGAAAAAGTATTCGATAATCTCCAGCACCCATTCCTGTTTAAGACACTCAAGAAGATAGGAATGGGAGGAAAATTCCTCAATATAATACAAACTGTATATGAAAAACCAACAACCAACTTGGTAGTCAATGGAGAAAAGACAAGAGCAATCCCACTGAAAAGGGGGACCAGACAAGGATTCCCCTTGTCCCCACTCTTATTTAACATCATACTGGAGGTCCTAGATAACAACATAAGGCAGAGGAAAGACATTAAAGCAATTCATCTGGGGAAAAAAAAGGTGAAACTATTATTCACAGATGATATGGTTTTATATATGAAAAAAACAAAAGCCCCTCAAGAGGAGTACTGGAAGTGATAGAGGAATAGGGCAGAGTGGCAGGATACAAGATCAACAAACAGAAGTCTATCGCACTGCTATGTGCATCAGACAAGACCACAGAAGAGGAGATAAAAAAGGTAGTACCTTTCATAATATCCAAACACAAATTGAAATATCTAGGGATACACTAACCAAAAAAACAAAAGCTTTGTACAAAGAAAACTATAGAACACTATTACAAGAAATCAAGTGTGACCTCCACAAATGAAGGAATATCCCATGCTCATGGATTGGAAGACTCAATATAATTAAGATGTCAGTTCGGCCCAAGGCACTATATTCATTTAATGCTATCCTGATACAAATACCATTATCTTTCTTCAAATAATTGGAGAACCTGATTACCAATTTCATATGGAGAGGGATGAAGCTCAGAATTAGCAGAGAACTCCTCAAGAAGAAAGACAAAATGGAAGGGTTTGCTTTACCTGACTTTAGCACCTATTATATAGCCACAGTGGTCAAAACAGTGTAGTACTGGTATAATGACAGATATTCAGACTAGTGCAAAAGAACTGAAAACCCAGAAATAAAATCATCAGCATACAGACAACTGATCTTTGCTAAGGGCCCCCAAAAATCAAATGGGAAATGGATGCCCTCTTTAACCAGGGGTGCTGGAAAAAATGGATATCTGTCTGCAGAAAAATGAAGCTTTACCTAACTCCATGCACAAGAATAAACTCAATGTGGAACACAGACGAGATAAAACCCCAGACTATTATGGCCATTAATGAGGGAATTGGGACAAACCTGAGAACTTTGGCACAGGGAATACCCAGGGTATCAGAAATAGGGAAGGACACTAACACAGAGGAAGCACAAATTGACAAGTGGGATATACTGAAGATAAGACACCTGCATACAGCAAAAGACTTCAGCAAGAGAGTAATAAGAGAGCCCACACAATGGGAAAACATCTTTAGCAATGACACATCAGACAAAGAACTTATTACTAAAATCTACAATATTCTGCTAGCCTACAATAAGAAAGAAAAAAACCTCATAGCCCATTGAGGAGGTGGGCAAAGGACCTGAACAGAAGTTTCACAAGGGTGGAAATCCAAATGGCCAATAAATATATGAGAAAATGTCCCCAAACATTAGCCATAAGAGAAATGCAAATTAAAACAATGGAGATACCACCTAGCACTCTTAATGATAGCCCAATTTAAAAAAAATCAGAAAGCAATAAGTGATGGAGGGCCTGTGGTGAGATAGGAACTCACCAGATCCACAACTCATCCATTGCTGGTGGACCTGTAAGAATGTGTAGCCATTATGGAAATAGATTTGGCGATTCCTAAAACAAATGGAAATCGAGCAACCATACGACCCGGCAATCCCCCTACTGGGCAAATACCCAACAGACATCTGCTCTCCAATGTTCATTGTGGCACAGTTCACAATCACAAAGTGTTGGAAGCAACCTAAATTTCCATCAACAGTCGAATGGATTAAAGAAAACTCTGGTACATACATATAATGGAGTATTATGCATCCCTTAAGAACAGTGATAAAAAAATTAAAAAAAAGAACAGTGATGAACGCATGAATGCCAAGCACAAAAGGACAAGTACAACATGAGTCCATTGAGGTAAGCTTAAGAAGCACAAGAGGAAAAGGGGAGAAGCTACTTAATGCGTAAATTCCTAAGGTGAGGCTCAGGCACTCTGGCA